CCTTCTATCTTCTCACATGGACATAATGGATTGGATAAAGATAGTGGTAGAGAGGCCAGTGGTACATTGTGTTCAGCCCTCAGAAAAGTCCTTTCCTTTCTCTTATTCAGTTTTATTTTCAGTCCATGCTAGTTTAACCTGGAACCCTTCAAAGCAGAACAGTCATTCCAATGGCCCTGTATGATGGACAGATTCTAGACATGGGCGTCTCACAGAACACGTTCTGGTTACTATTATCCCTGGAATTGTTGGAGCCGTTGCCATGCAAGTGATGTCAACGTGTGATGTCAAAAGATCAGGAGACGAAGGGACAGTGATCTTGCCACACTGATGTTAAGAACATAGCTTTTCCCATAATTCACCTGGTTCTCCAACCCATTAATATTAATGGACATTAACGCAGCCTTCAAAGCTGGTGGTGTCTGTGTTTTGTCGTAATGTAGCTGAAGAAAGGTGGCAGTGTTGCAGGGTAAAGTGACACCACGTTAAAAGCTTCAGGACGTGTTATGAATGTCCTGCTCCGAGCTCTGTGTGCTGCTCTTGGCTCTCACATTCATTCTCGACGTCTGCTGAGTCTTCTTTCAGTTATCCTGCTCTGTGGCTTGGAAACGTGAAGTCAGCTCCGGTTACCCGTCCCGCAGTGACACACACGCCACACCGACTCGAGACAGACATCTGGGGGGGTTCTGTGACACGGGAAGCTTTTATTTATTCATAGCCCAGGATGAATGGGCAGCTATAGCCTGCGAGACTCACTACAGGAACCAGTAACTCTTTAGAAGCTGGATTGCTGAATCTAAAGCTGTCTCAGATCTCGGGGATCTTGCAGATGGTCGTGTAGATGACTGCTGCTCCAGTTGTCCTTACATCTTTGTTAAACCTTTGCAGTGAAACATAAGTTACAGGTTGTCCCCAGGTTAAGAACATCTGACTTACAGACAACTCGTACTTATGAATAGACTTCCATAAAGCCTATTATATTAAAATTGGTCAAATACAATGGTTTCTGATGATAAACACATGCACTACTTTGTGACGCTTGTGAAAATATTGTTCAGTCTCAGCAGTTTGTCATGGTACAATGCAGTGCCATATGCAGTTACTTTAATTATTGTTGTGTAATTATTATTATTATTATTATTATTATTATTATTATTATTATTATTATTATTATTATTATGTACTGTATTATTATTTTTCTGGCTTACCCACAAATTCATAACCCTGGGACTGCCTGTAGTTTAATGTGGAAAATACAGCTCCAGTTTATAAATGTTATTTCATAGCAGTCTGAATAAGACCATTACACTGTCTCTGTGGCCTCCCTTACATATTGCATGCAAAAGTTTTCTCTCGTCTTCTTAGTCGCCTTCACTTCTGATTCCTGCATTTCCAGAAGCCTTCAGTAGATGCCTGGGCACATTGTAAATCACAGGGCTGTGGGTCATATTTTTAATGGATGAAGATGTCCGTGGTCCAGTCTGTCCCTCACAAGGAGGTTCTCTGCTCTCTAATATGGCTCAAAACAGCTACAACTGGATTAATTCAGAATATCGGGGATTGGAGACGGTCTCAGATCAGCTAATTCAGGTTTTATAATGCTGCATCAGCAAAAGCCCCAACCCAAGCAACCTGATCCTCAGTCTCCTTCTGGAGGCCTTTTGCTTAAGAAGCACTGAAGGCTACTGGACCCAGTAATTCAGCTCACCAGCTCATCTTGGCCGAAGTCTGATTCTTGTTTAGGCGCTAAACCCATGTGACACAGCTGTGTTTCCAACCAGAGTGTTTCGGGTCGACTGTGTTGCTCCTAATTACCCTCTAAGGACATTTGGATTTCAGCTTGTATCCCTAATTGACATGGTTCCACATGTAAGCCAGTCATTACGGACAGCAAATTATAAAGCTGTTGCCAGTATATTATAAAGTCTGTTGCCAGTAGTCTAGTTTTGACAGACTTGGGCTTTAGGTGCAAGGCGCCAGGGTTTTGGTGCCGTTTTATGCCAGCACAGCGTGCATAACATGTGATCCAGGGAAATATTCATTTTCATTCATTTTCAACCCGGTCCCTGGGGTCTCACAGTCGGTCCACATCTTTGCTCCCTCCCAGCTCCCTGCCAGACAGCAAAGAGAGCAAAAACGTGGACCGTCTGCGGGTCCCTGACGACCAGATTAGGAAGCACTGGCATAAACAAATAATTTGGGTCCTAGGTTGATAACCTCCGACTTAGAGGCTGTTTTCAGACTCTCCATGTGTAGCGCAAACACAGCTATTTCACCCCAGGCCAGATATGATGGTTTCCTCTTCTAACACTATGGAGTTCCTTCCTGCTTGTCACACAAACTTACAGTAACACCCACTTCTAAGTATTCTGTGTGCTGGGAGTATGTTTTAAATAACAGCTTCTTACAGTTTAGTTCCAACAACTGAGACCAAATGGAATGTATAACAATCCTAATTATCTGAGACTCTCCCCAGCTCGACAGGCATGTGCTGAGATTTTACAGAAGCTAATTTATTTAATAGGATAGATACTAGACCAGTTATGGTACAGGCTGCACTATAGATGGAGATGTAAATGCCGTACCGTGCGCAGCCTGACTCTGTACTGTGCTCATTTCTGCTGTGCATTCACATAGAAAAATGTGCCCTGAACATAGAAGTCCTGCCAAAATCTTTGGCAAGGAGGTTTAACCCGTGAATGATAAGTTACGCATACCTTAGCGAGGAAGGATTCAGCAGACAGGGTAGTGAGGCAAGGGGAGACCACGGAACAGGTTTTTATTTTTAACTTTACGATTTTCAAGGCAGGGACAGAACACACACTGCACTTTAGGGGAAAATTGACCCAAAAGTGGCTAATAAACAAACGACAGGTTTTTTTTTGCCAACACAGTTAATACTCTGGGATTAATAGCATAGGTATGCCTGATATTCTCCAAACCAAGTTCAAGTCAAGTCAAGTCTAGTGCGTCTTATTGTTATACCATCCATATACAGGTGTACAGCGGCATGTAATGGCCATCCGAAGGTTCCCAAAACATGACAGATCATACAGATATATAGGAATTTTCTGGGATGAGACATAGGAACATATTAGTATAAACTGCCAGGGTCATCGTCTTTTTCTCTTAGGAAATCATTGTCACCGAGATGAAGGGTATAATGTTTTGTGTTGAATGAGCATCCATGTGTTTAAGTCCAGCCGTTAAAGCCTAAATTAAAAGTCGAATGCCCAGCATTAGAGGTGCCAGATGACCTCGTCCAATCAGTGAGCTGCGATGTAGCATTAAGAGGCTTGTTGGGCACCAGTGGTGTCATTCTCTACCGCCGCTGCTTTGGGGGAGCAATGCTTCCAATGGAAGCCAACCGTGCCCCCCAGTTCCGGCCACACATCATAGGCAGCTAATTCCTAGGTGGACGGGAACACCGGTTTTGAAGTTGGATTTTTGAACAGCTGCACGATGAACTACCCTCATGTTTTTTTTTAAAGATGTCTGCTCTTCTTGCCCCTTCCTTTCAGAAAATCCTCTTGAACTGGCCCCCCTTCTCACTGCCACTGAGACACCCATAGTAAAATGTGGGGCCGCTTCACAAAACAGCCCCACCCAGTTTTGACGCCTTGAGAAATAAACTCTCAGGCCCCTCCCTGCAGGTGAGGCACCTCCCCATTCGATGAGAAGACAGGGGTTCAAACTCTGAACATCTGCCCCAAACCCTCATACCTCAGGGGTTTGCTGTCTTGTGCTACTTCTGATCTTCTAGTTCCAGGTGGACCGTCTTCTTCCCAGCACAGATGTTCTATGATCGCCAGGCCTCCACCCCCACGGCTAACTGCGGTCCCATAGTTCACCCTGTCCTATTTTTAAACATATAAAGGGAAATTTCGTGAGTCAGTGTCAGCGACGGTTGAGGAGGTGTGAAATCCTCGCTGGTGTATCCCAGGCAGAAATACGCCATTTCTCCTGCGTGACTCACACAGCAAGGAAGACGTCTGCTTTGATCAGAAGGCAGAAACTAAACCATTCTGAAGACTCCTTAAGGGAACAATAGTGTGAATGAATAATGAATAAGAGCCAGAAGACAATGG